CGATGCTAGAGCATGTGCGCTGGAGTTTCTGGAAGGATCATGAATTTTTCTGGCAACTCTAGTTTGTTCGAGACGCCGAGGGTTTTTAGTATATAAACCTGGCAAACAAAGCGAGCGAGATAGGGCATAGAGGGAATAGATATGCAGATAGATGGAAGAGATAGATTGAAGAGAGAGAGAGAGATAATTGAGTAAAGTGAGCAGGAGGCACCGTAAGTAGCGTGTGTGTATCGCTGTGATTTATAGCGTGTGTTATAAAGGTTATTAAGTTTAAAGTGACTGTGGAAATTCTGTGTATTACAAAGTTGTATCGAGAAAGAATAAAGTAGTTTTAATTAAGAAAGGACTTGTATCGCTGAAGTTCCTCGGAAAGAATTTATACCGGAAATTAACAAACAAGCAGATATGCAACAGTATGTATATCACATGTTTAAATCAGACCTGAATCCTAATGTGGTATTATTCAATTCTAGATTACCCATGTCAGTGATAATTCTCATTATATATATTCAAAAGGAGTTTGACTAACAGCTCATACTAACTTCTTAAAAATTATACACCATCCTTTTACTTGGGTACAACACAAACTCTGCTGAAGTGACAAAGAAACTCGACCAAACAAGTATAAATCCTTTTGCATGACCACAGCGATATAAAACCTTAGCCTGAAGCGAAATATAAAGCAAGTTTCTAATTAGTTATGTCCCTTTCACGAAAATGTGAACAATATATATATAAATATTCGTAAATATACCTGAATAAAGATATATTTTAGCTATAGAATAGTAAAGCTTAGCACTTTTACACTGCCATAGTAATGTAGAAGTGATACGTTTAAGATTTCTAAAACATAAAAAAATTAGATTTATTGATTTGTTTATCGCTAAGCACAAAATTATACACACTTTGATTATCTGTTCTCTGCACATCACGGATATCGAAACCCGATTTTTAACGTTATAAGTTATAAGAATTACTGTTGAGCCAACTATCATTCATACCACGTTGAAAAAATTCGAGTCTCGTCTGATTCCCGTAGATACCCAATGTCGGGTCTGGTTAGTACTTGGAAGAGAGACCACCTGGTAATACCAGGTGATGATGGCATAACGTTAGTGCGCTTGAATCAGAATTAGAGGGTCGCGGGTTTGAATCCCCGTCCCACTAAACATGCTCGCCGTTTCAGCCACGGGGGCGTTATAGTGTGATGGTCAATCCCACTCTTCGTTAGTAAAAGAGTAACCTAAGGGTTGGCTGTGGGTGGTGGTGATTAGCTACCTTCCCTCTAGTTTTTCATTGCTAAATTACGGACGGCTAGCGCAGATAGCCCTCGTGTAGCTTTACGCAAAATTCAAAACAATTCAAACCAAACTGATGAACCACTTGGAGGGGGGATTTATTGGTAAAAATATGCTTAGAATTTTTGTTATTTTCACGCCTATCTTCAGATAATGTTAGCCAATTATTACAATATCTTTAATTCCTGTTTCAGGTTCAGTGGGTGCTTCTGTTTTTTGGGGCAAATTCTTCGGTATTTCAAAACTCTAACTTTATGTTTTAGAGTAACTTTATGCATGGTAGAGTGTATTGAATTTGTAGTTTTATGGACTGTACCTGTCTGGGGTATAGAGGTGGGCGACGTTTCGATTTCTGTACTAAGGCAGAAGCTGTTCGTAAAACTTCAAAACGCTGAATTATTGTTATTTTAATTTTGCCTTTAGATGGCGGAAGGATTTAATCTTGAAGAAAACGTGTTTTGATGGTAGTTGTGGTCGTTAGTAGCGTTACCTATACATCAGGATTTAAATAAGTTTGAAAAGTATATCTAGAAATAAAAATCTATTGATAAATTAAACCAATCATATATTGCTATAGTCTGGAACAGCAGTGAGTAGATTAAAATTTGTATTAAAATTAAAAGCACATTTTTATACTGCTTGATATCTGTTCTATTTTGGACTAAACACGGCAAAGGCCAAGCAACGAAATTAGTGACACCGACTCACTAGTCCGTCAATTTTTACTTTGTTTTATTGTCCTGGGGACATTCATTTAACTTATCAAATTTATTTGAATGTTTTAGTGGTAAAACCTTAGAATATAACTATTAGACTGACTAGCAGTAGCATATAGTTGAGTCATACTCAGAGTCAGTCTTACTTTTTGTCTTGGCTTTAAATTGAATATATATTTTTTATACTGTCTTTCTTTGTTAGTTAAAAAATAAGTGCAAAAAATCATACTCATTCATAGGACTAGGAGGGGAAACGATACTTTCTAATTCTGTTTCTAAGCGGTTTTGTTTAGGATTATTACTATTACTATTAGATGAAGAGACACTTCTATTTTAAGTTTAACTGGTCTGTGAGTAGTCGTTAATTGTGACTGTGACCTGAAAGCTGAGGCAGAATTTATGTTGTAATTGTAAATATCCATGCATTTTGATGAAAATTAAACTTGAGTTAAACTTAAAGATTAGATTGTTTAGATTATATTTGTAAATTTTAACAGCCAGTAAACTGTTGAATGTATTATTAAAGCAAAAAATAATTGCAGTGTGTCATTGTATCTTACTAGAACTAAAAGTGAAATCTCAAATATATATAAAAGTTTTAAATAGACTGTAATCTTAACATATAAAAACAAAAGGAATAAAAATTCATAATACAAGTGATGGAAATTTGACTTGATGATGTAAGTAGTTGCAGGATGTTATCTGGGATGGAAAGGTTGTCATACAAGGACAGGTTAAGAATTTTCTCTTGAAAGAAGAACAGTTAGAGGGGATCTGATTGAGTTGTTTAATATTGTTAAGAAAACTGATAGTGTTAATGCATTATTTGTTTTCGTACTTAATGATGAGAAAGGTAGGACTGGGGAACAGGAATGTAAATTTTGGTAGGGCAGCAGTCATTTTTAGCTAAGAAAATTATATTTCTCTAACTAGATGGTTGTAATTTGCAATAGGTTGTCTTGAAATGTGAGGGATGCAGTAAATTTAAGGGAAGACTTGATAAATATTTTGAATTATATAGGTTGACTTTGAGTTTCTTTATTTTTTAAGTTAAGTGAATAAGATGGCCTAGACAGAGCCAATAAATTCCTTGTTATCCTTAAATTTTATGTTAAATGCTATTGACAATTATAGATTACTGGGTACTATATAAGGGTCACAAACTTCTAAGTTCATATGCTGCTGGTATAAAAAATTATCAGTCATGTAATAAATAAAATTTATAAAACTGAAAAAAGTACACATTATAAATAAGTAAACAATTAGCTTCTGTCATTTCCAGTGGTTTACAAGAGGCCATTTGGACTGTCTGAGCTGTTTGTTTGTAAAGTTAAGATATTGTTATTACTAACAGAAACTCTGCTCTACTGGTGGCTGTTTGTGCTAGTAATTACTAATTGTATATTCATATCTCATTGAAAACAATTTAGAAAAAGTGAACATTTTCTAAAAGAAGAGTTTTTCTGGGAAGCACTGCATGGAAAAATGTACAGAGGTCAAAACTTTTATAAATTTTACTGATATAAACTGTAATGTTGTTTTATGTATTAAAAGTGGTACCATTCATTGAAAAAATAAGTTTTTTTAAGAACTACAGTTCCTCAGTACTACATTTAAACATTACATCAATAAAGATATAATCAAACCATCAAGTACAGTCCTAGTGAAAGTTGTATTCTTGTTGTGAGGAGAGTACTTTTATTTAAAATTGCATTCTGTTGTAAAAAATGGCTGTTGCACATACCACAGTTATTTTTCTGAATCTTGAATACCTAAAGTGTAAAATTTTTTATGGATTTGTGTTTCTGGTGCCATTTAATAGATGGTGCAGGAGTTTTGGTTATATACCTAGATAGTGACATACACGCTACATCCATTGTAGTAAGATATGGAGCTTTTACAAGTTACAGAACATGTAGTCAAAGATATAAAAACTATTATTAAGTAGATTTGGCCATGTATTCCTCTTTTTATTGAATAACCCAAAAGAACTTACCCAGCAAACCGTTATAACAATACAATACAATGCAATAAAATAAAATTAATTAAAAAAGGCAATTGAAGTGCATCATAGGATAACTAGTGTACATTACACATGAATAATTATTTAAATGTTACATAAGATTTTCCATACTTTGTTTTCCTCTGTATGTGGCCACGACACAGTGATACGCAACCTAAATGCTTGATGTTTTAAATGCATTGGATATGTAATAGACCCCCCAGTGTATAAAGGAAACTGTGTACTTATCCCAAAGTTATCCAGTGTTAAATTTATGTTTATGGTAGGCTATTTAACTGTTTGCGTAACAAATTTTTATTTAACTTGGTTAACCATGAAAATAGCCCTGACCTACAACCTGAAGTTTTCACTCAACGTTAACGAGTATTTCTTGTGCTTACAGTGTGATGCTGATCTCTTAATTTAAGTAGTTTTTCACATTCATTTAACTATAACACTAATGGTCATCATTAGATCTTGGCCACTAGTGGTATTTACTAATTAATTAATCAGTGGCCACATTAACTGAATACAGAAAAAAAAGACTGTTGTTGATGGGTACTACCAGAGAGCAAAGAGTTTACCATCCTTTCAGTCAGCAATTCACAAGAAAAAATAAAAAATTGGCAGATAGCATTATTAGCTATACCATAACAAAGAAAAAGAAGAACAATTGTGGTGGCAATATTTCAATTACTTTGATGATTGGAATAATCAAAATTGGCAATAATTAGAAACCATGATTTTGACTAGTTGATGAAATCATAATTTTTATTATCGATTCTTGGAGTAATTGAAAATAGTGATAATTGTTAATTTCGAATAGTTGGTTATTTTCATGACAATTAATATAATTGGAAGTTAGATTAACTGATTTTTGAAATAATTGAAAACAGTAATAATCATAAACACTAATTTTAATTCATTGATTTCACCATAATTTCAATTAATTGACTAGTTTGGGTGAAACTAATTGATGTAATCCTTGCTCCTAAGTAACTGATTATATCAATTAAATTGCCCAGCCCTAGTTATTATTCAAACCATATCACAAATGTATAGTACTTATATGTGTATACACATTTTGAAATTCATCTGTGTATGTTTTATGCATGTTTCAGGTGAACGTATTTCTCGTCAAAAATGGGAAAAAGGAGTAAAAGGCAGAAACAAGTTAAAGCTAGTACAAGATATCCTGCAAAGGTAAGGAGGTTTTGAAAGCTAAATGGTAGTACCATATGTGAGATACAGTAATATCTAAGAGGTATATAATTTGTGAATTCTGTATTAAGAGGTATGATTTCTATATATTTGCTATGTGGTTACTACACACTATTACAATAGACTGTATGGAATTAATTTGATAGATTTATAACATCATGAATTTTTGCTCAATAAAAGAACAAAGTTAACTTATTCTTTAAACAAAATGTTTTTTGGGAGATGCTAGATTTTTCAATCTATCCCAGTAAAAATGCATCAAAATTAGAAAAATTACTCTCAAGAAAAGCAGGAGAATGCATAAAATTTAATCCAGAACCCAAGAATTCCCAAGACCCCAAGGCAAGCCCTGGACCCTGGCCAAAATGGGTGTGTTGATGGCACACATTCTCTCACTTCATTTGTTCAAATAAATTTTGCCTCTCCCAAATATCCTGAACTTAATAAGCGGTAGTAGTACAAGGCAACCCGTATCTTAACCCATAAGTTTGGTTTAAATTTGAAGATGGAATTGGGGGTGGGGGGCAAACGTTTTTCAATTTCTTAATTGAACCTTCTTGGTGACTACATCCCATTAATTAGGCCAAAACACAAAATAATTTAAAAACCTTTTACCATTGTTTAGTAATAATTTTGAACAAAAGGTCATGGGTCATTAGTGACACAGGTCATGCAAAAGGTACAATTTGGTGTTAATTTTATCTGAAAAGGTGTGGCATAGAAAAGTGTCACGAATAAAGGCACATGAAAGAACTTTGCTACTTCTCAGTGCAAAAGATGTTCAATGTGCCCTATATCTAAAAGAGAGAAAAACTAGCATATAGTGTGCAAAATGCAGCAGAGTTACCTGTTCTACTTCTGCACACTCACACACAATGAAAACAACTGTTTGTGCTAACTACAATTTATAGCTATTATGTTTGAAGAACTGCAATATATGTTTGCTGATGATACAGTATTTCTGTTGGTAATCTGGTATTGTGACCATCCTGCTTGTGTTTTGTTTGACTTGATTAAATAAATTTATACATAAATGTGGTCTGAACTATTTTTTTACTTTGGTGGGTCAGTTGTGACCCATGTTATGCACTAATGTAAGTAAATTACTTCATGCATTTAAGGATAAATTTGATGTGTTAAATCATCAGTACAGCTTACTGCTATTTTTTTGTACAAGTTTGATAATTGATAAAGTAATATGAAAAGTTACAATCCTTATATAATGCCTTCAGCTTATGGCATATTTAGTAAATCAGTACACAAAAGTATGCTTTTTAGTTTTTATACACTTATGAGATATAGTTGAAAAGATGAGTATTTCAACACGATATCTTAACCTCCTCTCACAAAATAGCTTTTCTTGATTATTACTGCTCTCTATCGACACAAATTTTCAATGCTCGCTGGTAGCCTTCCACCTCCTGCTTCTGCATATCCACATTCAAGTAATCATTCAGCAGCCATACATCAGTAGGAGTGCTATATAACTTCTATTGTAACCAGCACCCTTTTCACATTTGCACTCGTTAATCACTTCTCGATTGGCAGTAGTACTGTACAAAAGTGCTGGTTTGTGCTTGCAGATTTGTTGACGTTTTCCTTTATACTACAGACTTATTTTTTTCTTTAATATTTATTTACATTTTCACGTTTTGGAATTGTGAAAGGTTACTTTTTCCAACTTTTCATACTTTTTCAGGGGCATTTTTGATTAGCGTATTGTGGATCCTACTCTGTGGTAAGTGGTGCCTACTTGTTTATAATTATTATTTTTTTTAAATCTACGCTATCCATCCTGTGACCATGCTCGATGTCAGTTACATTGTAGCCCTTCCTACTGTGGACCTGATGTATAATTCTAGATGCTGCCAGGTGTTGGTTGTGTGTCTCCGTTCTGTTGTCATATATGTCTAAACAATTACATTGCAGGATTGGGTTATGCACACCATGAAGATGGGGTGTTCCATAGGACTGCTGGTAGTTCTCTCTAGTGGTGTTTTGCTTTATAAATATGTTCGTCCTGAGCCATACACTCATGGACTAACATGAGTAAGGCACATAGAGATTTCTGAGACTCTTCCTAACATGGACCTGATGTACAATTTCCAGGTGCCACCAGGTTTTAGTTCAATGACTCTGTCAATGTGGTAGCTCTGCTTTTCAAAATAGGGTATTGAGGTCACCCGTTGCACTGTCTATGGTGATGTGGTTCTCAGGAGTCTCCAACACATTTTCCCTTCTTACTTCTAATGGAGTATTGGAGTCCTTACCACTTATCAGTGATTTCTGATTGTGACATGATCGCTAAAACTAATATTATGTTTTTGATTGTAATTTTTGGCTCATGCAGTCTGCAAAGTTGGATTCAAAAGTGTTTGCCCTAAAATACATATATTTACAACAAACAATGTATGTACAGTAAGGTAGATATTCCAAACAACTTACAAGTTTGCAATTTTTACTTGCCTATTCTTGGAAAGTATTGACAAAAAAGAAATTGTATGTATATCTTTCAAATATGAGAGCCTTGATGCATGCTTGGTATCATATATAAAAAGTAAAAAAAGAGACCATTCTGATTGAAAACAAGAGTTATCTTTATAAAAGCTCAAATAATAATTCTATATTTCAAATTTTATAAATGAATTTTTATATAGCAATTCCATTACACTGATACAAAAAGTTTAAATATAGGACAAAGTGATGACATTCTTATTAATGAAAGTGCATTTACTTTGAATACATAGGCATTCATAGTGATGATGTTTGTGGATTGTACATGACATGACTGATGAGTATACATTAAGTTTAGGAAGGTACATTATGGTTTTTCATAAGTTCTGCTCAGTTAAGAAATGCTTAGATCAGTTTATGTTGATTCAAACTTTTAATGGCTCTTTTTATTTTAAGGGGCCAGTGGACTACCTAGCAGATACTTTTTACAGGCCTGCTGCCATTTTTTGGGGCCATTGGCTCCCGGGTTCCTGATAATTTTGAGCCCTGCTTCCCTCTCTTGATAGGAAGCATCTCTGATCATCTATTTTACATATGGCACATGGACCCAAGATGAATTCTCTCTCCACAACCACATGCTTTAACTTTTGGTACACTGTTTGGCATGATACAATTATTACTACCCCTAATGAATCACTTAGTTATGTTTCTTTCCAACAATTCTTTTTTAATTAACCATCACTGGGTAATCCTTTGCTTGCAAACTTCGAACTTTCCTTCTTGGGACTATTCTCAGTGGGTTGGTTTCTTTGCCTGTCATGAACCAAGTACTATGACTGGGTTGTGGATCACCTCCCTTGACAGGACCATGTTCTGCTTGCAGTATGTATATTCTCTCCCTGTTTCCTATGGGGTTCTCTCTTAAGGACTCTACTTATTGTTGCCTAGCAAACCCTCTCACTTTCATGCTTCCTCTCTATTGATCATGTGTTCTCCATCCCTCGGCCCTGGCTGTCAGTGCCTTATGCCTGGTCTGGTCTTTTACTTGTCATAATGCTCACTCACCTTCCCAGCCTTTACTTGGCCTTGCTTAGAGACACTCCTTGTTGTTTCTTCTTGGGTGTACCCTCTGACTGGCTTAACCTTGGTTCTTTGCCATCTGTCAACCCAATCCCCTCTTCTCTTGCCATTTAAACATTCTATTACTTCAACATCTACCATCTCTTTTCCATCACTGGATTTTGTCCTTCTGCCTTCACATTCAGTTTAGTTCAGTCCTTTATGCATGAAACCAGACTTTACCATCTTGTGGTCCATTCCTTTTCTGGGCATAATTCTACTTGGTCCTTTTACCTGCATGGTGGGGCAATGACTTTCAATGTTGATTCATCTGTCACCATTTTATTCCTCACAATTCTACTGTCAGACATCTGCCTTCCTTTACCAGGGTGTTTTACAGGGTTCAGCAGTCTCTGCTTTTGCCAATTATTGGAGCCTTGTCTTCATCATTTTGCCAGTTCAATACTGCAAGGTGTTTTCTCTTTTGTTCAGGTCCTTCCTTATTCACACACACACTTACCCTCTTCTCACCCAACTGGGACCTCAATGTCATTCTGCATGTTCTGACCCATTCCCGTTCATGTCGTTAGCAACCTGCAACTTCCACTGCCTTCGTTTCAAACATATTCTTTTTTCTTTTCACTTGTGATGTCAGTTGTTTCCTCTTTATGTCAATGACTCATCCCATACCCTTTCCATCATCCTGTTATTTTTCTTCCTCCCTCTGTCTTCAGCTGCTTAAGGAGGAGATCTCTACCCTTCTCATCTCTCCTGTCCTTCTATTTTACTCTTCTATGCTCGTTAGGACCCAGTCAGACTTTTTTACCCTGTTCGTGCTGTTTGTTGCTTCTAAGCTTGTACCTCTCACTTTATGGGTTTCTGTCTTTCACTCTTTATTCCCTGGGATTTCTCTTCTGCCTTTATTAGTATGGTCTGCCACATTCTTTGTTGGGTCTCCTCCTTTTTAGAGATTGTTCCTCGCAAATGGTCTGCATCTAGTTCCATCAGATTTGTCACCTCTCTCATTCACTTGCAGCTTGTTTCCTACTGCCACTAGACATGATTATTCATGTTGGCATGTGAACTACTTCACATAACTTTGTCACCCACTCTGCCTCTGTTTGCTGTCATACAATATGCCCACTATATTTAGATGGGTGAGTACATTCCTCTTTGGTTTCTAGCATTTTCTTCCAGGATCTTGCCAGATGGCTGTTGGTGCCTCCCAGGGTACACTTATTTCCCCAAATCCTTCATCAAGCCAGGATAATTGAAAGTGCTCATACTATACCCCCCCTGGCTCCACATACGCCCACTGTTGAGATGGGGTGTTCTGCAAGACCACTTGAGGTATCCTCGTAGTATATTCTGACATCTATCTACTGTCCGATCCAGACAATACCTATTCCATTGCTACCCTGCTTGCTACCCTGACTTGTGTTTGCCGGCTTTTCAAAATAGGTTTATGTGGTCACCCTTTGTACTGTCTCCAGTAAAAGATATTTCTGACAGGCATGCAAAGGAGGTCAGGGCAATTTCTCTGTGTCTCCCCATTGCAAATTCTCCCTCCCTCTTTTCCATTGAGTGGAGCAACGAAGACCCCTACCACTTACCAGTTCCTAGCCACTGGGGTGGTGGACCATGGAAAACAGTTGCTGATTGGGACCTAATAGCTGGGGCTCCACAAATGGTGGCAATAAGTGGGAAGTGTAGCACATGTCACCTTTCTTATAATTATGCTCTTATCATGTTAGTGTCCCCCATTCTACTGCCACCTGGATGTTGGTTCCCAGATGGTCTAGTGTTGGATTGGCTTAAGACCAGCCAACATAAGTTTTTACACATGTGGTTGGTAGGGATCCTCCTCCTACTGCAGACCAGATGAAAAACTCCTGATGCCACATGGTTTTGGACTGGAGTTGACTCACCACATTTGCATTCCCTCTTCCTATTGTTGCCTGGGTGTTGGGTTTTCAAATGGTTTGGTGTTGGTTGTGTACTGGGTCTGCATACAAGTGCCCTGCCTGGGTTGTTGGAATGGAAGTTGCTTTTTCCTTCTGCTTCCTGGTCATGAGATGAAGATGGTTGTGACCCTCCTCCTCCCACCACAGCCAGGAATATACATATCCAATGGTTTTGGACTTGAGTTGAATATCTGCAATCATCTCCTGTTCAGATGAGTTGAGGTGAGCACTTCCTAATAAATCATGCCCTCCTCCTTTAGCAGAGGACTGTGCTGTTGAATCAATGCACATACTAACATTATACAATCTATGGCATGTATTCTGTGTACTCTTCCCGCAGCTGGTGTCAGTTGAAGAAGTATACCAATAGAACCGAGGTGAGCACTTGGTGCAGTCTGATCGTGCCCAAACCATACTACATATATATTGGCTCTCTGACTTCTTGTGTGCAAGTACTTGGGTGGCCACATTCATAGTCCATCCATATTCATGACACATGAGGCTTGTTTGCCTAATCCAGAGAGTACCCTGGAAGAGATGAGAGCTTCTATGAGTGTGCTCCTATGGAGCCCCCTGCTATTAGGTGTCATACTCTGTGGGTTTCCTTCGGGCACTTTCTGAAGGGAGCTCATCTACATAGCTTGTACAGAGGTGTGTATCATCTTGAAGGTTAACATTTTCCTTACTTGAAAATATATTTCTGATAAATACTCACCTCTCACACACTTCCTACCCTTCTTCCCCACTTCTGGTGCAAGTATTTCTTCATCATGGAATGAAGATTGCGAGTGCAAAAACATAGAGGGAGATAGTCTGCAGAGAGGTTGTGTCACCCTCCAATTGATGGAGAGCTTTTGCTGCATAATTATGTCATTATGTAGTAGCACAACTCATAAGAAATCTCATGAGTTTGGATGGGAGTTGCCTAAAGGCTAGTGACATGAAAATCTTTAAGGAAGATGCACAAGAA